GCCCCCCTCCTCCACACTCGTCCGCAAAGCCTCAGGCCTCCCCTGCCACACTCACTTGGGCAAAGAGGAGGATGTCCAGGAAGTCCAAGTGCCTCTTGCTCCTGACCTTCTCGAGCTCTCCCTCCTCCTGCAGCTGAGCCTTCCTCAGCTTGATCACTCGGTCTGTCCAGAACAGTGTTCCCAGGCAGAGCTGAGAGCTCTGGGTGCCCAGACACAGCCACCCACAGTAGCCCACCTGCCCCCTGTGCCCCAGTCAGGCTGCCAGGTGGATCAGGAGTGTGGGAATGGGTGTGCTTCTCAGGGAGAGAGCTCTAGTGCCAGGCGCTTGCCGGTCCTCACTCCCCTCAACAGCACAGCCCGAGGAGGCTCTGCTTGAATGCTGCTGGCAGGGGCTCTCATTCAACCTTCACCCATGTGGTGACACACGTAGCTTCCTGCATAGCACCTGGCACCCTCACAGCTGCACCAGGGGAGTACCTGGGCTGGGTGTTTCCCAGGTCCTAGAGGGGCAGCGAGGGGCAGGACTCTGCCTGGGGGGTCAGGGTCAGTCCCTTTGGGATGTGCCTGAGGAAGGAGGGGAGGTGCCAGAAGGCAGAGTCCAACCTGTGTGTTGATGGGCAAGCTGGCAGGCCCGGTGGTTCCAGCGGCCTTCAGGGGTCAGCCTGTAGATGATGTCCTTCTGGTAGAAAGCATTCCTTATCCGGGAAAACACCAGGTTGTTCAGGTCCCGAACGGCCTGAAGGTAGGATTGGGAGTACCTGCAAGGGGAGGATGCAGAAGGGACTGGATGGAGGGAGGCATCTCACCTGGAGTGGAGTGGATCTGTGGGTGGAGTGTTCCTCAATCAACGGGACAGGCAACTAGGCATTTGTCATGTCGTTCTTACACCCTCGAGACTCTCAGCCCTTTATGAGGGACGTGGGCAGCCAGGCTTCTCCCTGTGGCAGGGAGCAGGGTCTGTGCCTAATGAAGGCTTGGTGTGGGCTGAATTTGACTGTGGCCTGGGGCTCTCTGCAGAATGTGGCTCTTTGGGCTGGTAAACATCCAAGCTTCCCTAAGTGCCTCTCAGATAAGTCCACACTAGTTGGTGAGAAATAGAACCCTGCAGCTAAGGATTTCACTGACCTGTCTGCCTGGTGGTTGCCCTGGTAGCTGAAGGCACACTTCATAATGGTGTCCAACGTCATCGAGGAGATGCGTCCAAAGATCTCCAGAGGTGAGTTCTGGCTGAGGAGCTCCTCCCATTCGTCCTGTGGTAGAGGGACACATTGGTCCTTCTCTACTCCTCCAGAAGGCCCATGTTGACAAGGCTAGACTCTCTCTCTGCCTCTGCTCATATTCTGATGAGATGCCCTCACTTTCTAAAGCGGTTGTGTTTCATCAATTTAGGACCATATAGCCAAGTGTTTGTAATATAGTGAGTGTTTTCTCAGAATACACTCTGAGGAAGTTGTTATTTGTTATTTAATTAATCACGATCGCTTATAGTCTGACTTAGGAATAAGTTTGGTGATAACCACCTTTTAGCAGACCAGAAAACATTGTTTCTCAGGGGACTAAGGGGGAATCTTTTCTGTCCTGGGGTTGATCTACACATGAGAAACCAGTGAAGTCCCGATTTAGGGAGCAAGAGTCAAGGCAAAGGAAAGGTCAAGGGGCCAGTACTGCGGTTCCTAAGGAAGGGCTATCAGGGACCTCAATTCCTCTTATTCAGCAAATGTCAGTTGAGCACGGTGAGTGAGAAATAGGGTCATGTTCAGAGGCGATGTTATGGCAGGACCCAGCCCTGGAGGTAGAGACCTGGGCTCCATTTCCCTCCATGGAGTGGCTAAAAGCCACCAGAAGCCTTCAGCCCCAGGCCAGAGTCCACCTGAGTGACATCCTGGGATGTCCACCCTGCCACTGAAGCTGCTACTGCCCAGGCCAGCCAGGGGCAGCTTGTCCCATTGTCCAGGGGCTTTGACTACTCTTCCTGTCCAAGCCAAAGGCACGGAAGCGGGAGGAGAAGGGACCCTTTATGTACCATGACTGTCTCTCCTGTGGGCAATGAGCAAAGAGTGGATGAAAGCGGGTGCCTGGGTGCTTTCTTGTTCCATCCGTCCCCAGGGAGCCCTGTCTCATAGTATGGTATCAGTGGGTGATTCCAAGGGCCAAGTCTAATCGATGTCTGAGGGACACAGCTGTCTGAGAGTGGACTTTGTGGACTGTGCTGTGGGTGTGAGTGTGCAGGTGAGGAGGGGTTGAACTTACCAGCATCACTCGGACAGAATCGGCCATGAGTCCCACGTAGGGCTTCAGGATGTCATAGTGGAAGGCTGGGGTCAGCATCCGCCTGTGCTGGAACCACGCTTGCCCATTCAACAGGAGCAAACCGTACCCTGGACCACAATGGGTGTATGTGTGGGGAAGGAACCTCCCAGGAGTTGCCTGGGGACAACTGGGGAGGAACCCAGAGTGTCAAAAGAAGGGCATCCTGGGCAAGGCAGGAAAGGCCAGTGCATGTCAGGAAAGGGACTTCCCAATGCCTGGTGCACAGCTGTGAGGTTGAGGTTGAAACAGAGCAGGGCTGGGTAAACAGAGGACTTCAGTGAAAAGTTAGGCTGAGATCATTGGCGAGGACTCAGAAGTGATGGGGGAGAAGCTGACCAGCAAGAGGGCTCCCCTACCATAAGGAAGGTGTGAGGTTTTTATCAGAAGAAGAGAAAGGGGGCTCAATTCAGAGTTGAGTGGAGTGACTGTGGTACCAGTCACCTCTTATTTAATCTGGGCCAAACGGATAGATGTTGGCAAACCTAAGCAGGAGGTGAACCATATTCCTAGTTAAATGTACTTACCTATCCAGGGAGCCATGAATCTGTAGGAAGCATCAGACTTTGGGTCTGAAAGTAAGAAGGGCATTACAGGAAACTGGAGGTGACCGACGAAGACAGGCTGCCCTCAGGAATTAGCTGTGGTCCAGACCATTGTCCCTGTCCCTTCCCGATGATCGTCAGCTGGCAGATTGTGTCAACCCACCTCCCACTTGCCTTCCAACCCAGACTCTCTTTCTTTCTTGATAGTTACTGTGGGCTCGGGAAGGCAGACTTAGTGTCCCACAGCAGAGCCCTATGGAGTAGGAAGTTGAATCAGCAAGAAATACAGCTTCTGTCCTCAGTGGCAGTGAAGAGACTGTAGCTTGTCTGGTGTTTTTTGTTTTGTTTTGTTTGTTTTGTGTTTGTTTGTTGTTTTCTTTATTTTTGTGGTTGGCCAGTCATCCCATGTCCCAGCACAGGCAACAGGTAGGGGTTCCACCTAAGCCATCATGGATAGGAGATTTTCTTGTGTTCTGGGGTCACACCACAGTGGTGAAGAAAGAAAGAAAGGTGGAAAGAAGGAAAGGTGGAAAGGAGGAAAGTTGGAATGGAGGCAAGGAAGGAAGGAAGGTAGAGGGAGGGAAGAAGGGAGGGAGTGAAGGAAGGAAGGAAAGAAGGAAACAAAGAGAGATAGAGAAAAGGAAGGAAGAGAAAGAAAGGAAGAAAGAGAAAGAAAGAAGAGAGAGAGAAAGGAGAGAAAGAGGTAATCCCTCACAGGTGTTTAAGCATTCAAACTGAGTAACTTGTATTTGGGCTTCTGCTGGCTCTTGGGCTGGGAGGATGGCAGGTAGAGGGTCAGATATTGATGACTGAGCCAGCAGTCCCTTCTGGAATGTCACAGTCCCCCAGGAATGTATCCAAGCGGGAAAAGCCACTCCAACAGACAAGCGGGTTTGCTCTCACCTGATCGCCCCAGGATCACCTTCATGTAGTCCGGGTCATAGACTATGAGGCTAACCTTGCTTCCCCATAGCCAGCGAGGACTGGCACATGGGTATTTCTCTGCCCTTTTCTGAAGCTCTTGTAGCTCCTGACCGTTTTGGAGCTGTAACCAAGGGAAAGACAAACCAATAAAACCTTGCTTCCTCTTCAGGTCCACTGCTTGGAGTGGTGGTGGAGGGTAGGATGGCCACATGGGGATAGTTCTGGATATCGGCAGTGATTCGGAGTTTGGAACGGTTTCTGATGAGCTGGGCTCTGATTGGGATTCCAGATTCATGACACTTCTGTTCTAGTGGGAGTGGAGGTGGGGAAGTTAATCGAGCCCTACACTGAGAAGTGTTGTCCAGTGACTTAAGGAGGCTACTCTGAGCTCCCAGGTCATGTCCATCACTGGGGCTGCCCTTCTCCTTGGATCCAGTGCAGGGACTGCATAGGGGGAGCCTCTCACCACGAAGCTATGTTACCTCATCCTCCAGGATCCCCCCAAACCTGTGCAGCAAGGGCCCCTGGGGGATCGTGTTTCAGCACAGTTGCATGCCTCTGGTTTGATTGCTTGCTCCCCAAGCCAGTCAGCTTCCAGAAACTCCTGCTCCTGGGTAGTGTCAGTAGTTCCTCTGGGGAGCCCCAAGGAGCTAGATGGTGCTCTGCCCGGCTCTTCCTCTCTCTGGGTCACTCTGACACCCACTGGTCCGTCAGTCTTCCAGACAACCGCTTGGGACTGCCATCTCTCCCTGAGCAGGTCTGGCCAGGGCCAGTTGACACTCTTGTAGAGGAGTTGGTGCCCGTGGTGGCAGTGGCAGTAACCCTAAAGGCTGATACTCAGTGTCTACTGGCGTTCAGGCTGTGGCCACTCATGCAGGCAGTGCTCCACTACAGCTGTTCTCACCTGGCTCCTCCTGGGAACTGGGGCCACAAAAAATGTCCCCATAGTGAGATACCAGGCCAGACACTGGACAGAAAATAAAGGGGCAGCACAGGCAATCAATTTTCAGGTGCTGGGGGCTGTGCTGGCCTGTGGTCTGCCTGAGACAGGAGGGAGGTTCAATATTATTTTGAAATTACTGTCATTCCCAATGAGAGTCTAGCTTGGCAGAGCCTATTTTGCCTTATAGGTATATTACTTATGTGATGCTCAAAAGTTATTATTTTTGAATGGCCCCCAATGAAGCAAATGTGAGGATTGGCTGAAGGCATTTAACTGACTATTGAGAATTGTGATCTATTTAAATTGATATTATGCAAGTATAGTTTTACCAGACGACTTTTATGTACTCTTGAATTCAGGTGTTTTGAGTGGTACATTTACATGAAGAAAAGAAGATGGAGAGTGGATCTTGAATTTATTAAACTAAATATATTTTAAATTTATTCAAAACTGTCTATGATCTGGAGATTTTTTAATGGAATTTTATGGAATTTATATTTTGTCTATTCTCTGTTTTGCTTGGAAACACCACAAAACATGAAGCTCTACATCTGCCACAACCTCTCCTTCTTTCTTCTAGGTCAAGGCCAACAACTTTGCTACAGATCCTAACCCTCCCTCTATTAGGAACGGGGTTGAGGGAAGCAGGAAGTGGTAGAGAGAGTCCTCCGCATCCTTCCACTCTGGAATCCCTGTCTCCCATGTGGTCACATCCTAATTCTCTGCTTTTTCATAGCCAAACTTTTCAGAGTTGACAATATTTTCTCCATAGTTTCAAATTAATTGCCATGATTTTCCCTTCCCAGCCCACTTCATTTTGGCTTCTATATCCATCACTTCAACAAATCTTCCTCTGGTTATAGCTGATTTCCATGTCACTAATTCCAAGAAACACATTTCAAACTTGACCCTTGTCTCAGGAGCACTTGACATCCATCTGTCATTTAAACTGTTTCAGCATTGTCTCCTTGTATCCCACAACACCTGGTGCTCCTCGTGCCCCTCCAATCTCTCTGTTTGCTCATTTTCCTCCTCTGGAAGCTCATACTTCTCGATCTGGTTTTTTAAATATTGGAATCACTTAAGGTAACAGACCAACACTGCTAGACACATTCAACAGTTTCCTGATTCTCTGGTTGTGTAATCTGAAGGAGTGGAGAGATGGGCACAAATGGGCACAACTGGTATGGCACACAGGCAGGAAGGATGAAAGGAGAGTAAACCCTGGAATTCTCGGTCTGGAGAGAAGGGGCTCAGGGCAAGCTGACTTTTTAAATTTTTTTGATTTAATTTCTTTGTTCGTAAGACCAGTTGAGGTCTAGATAATCCAGTGGGGTCTTTCCAGTCATAGCAGCTATCCATTATACTGTATCTAACTGTCCTCTCCCCCAGATCGTGAGGTATCCCAGGGAGCGGCCTACCCTCCATCCATCTTTTTATCCTGGCATTGTCCAGCATTGGCCGGTGTACAGGATGCAGCAATGAGGGTGAGGACTGGCTCTATGCCTCCTTTCTGAACATTTCCATTTTCTTACTCCAGACTCTTGTGGGAGAAAATATGTAATGGAGCCATGTGCCCTGGGCCCTCTGCATGGAACCTACTATGTAAATTCCACTGGTTCCTCAGTCTCTTAACAACTGCTTGCCAATGCCCTCAGCATCACCATAGCAGCTGCTTTGAATCCCCACCCTGCTAGGCACTCAGTCCTCTCTGCCCCTGCCAGGGCAGAAGATGCCTCATAATCCTCTGAAAAAAAATGAGGTTATCTGGCATCAGAGATGTCATCCGCTCACTCCTTCCCTCTATTCTGCCTCCTATGCCTCTAACATGTTGGTTTTCCCAGTTGAACCCCTTCAAAACTGTAACTAATGTGCTGTCAATTAAGAGCAGACTGAAGTGATCACTGCCCATCTCGATATTTTCATAAAACTGTCTGGGACTGGACATCTATGAAGTTTCTGTGCCCCATCCCATACAGCTCATTCCTTCTATTCAGCACCCCACTCACCCCCAGGCCCTGTTTTTTCTCTCATTGCCTCTCTCTCAGCACCTTCTATCCTTCCTCTCTATCAGCACCATCTCCCTTAGGAACAAGGTCCAGGCTCCCCCATTGTGAAAATAGCTGTCATTTTACTTTATTCTTCTTCTCCTCATCTCCCTTCTCACCCCCTGCTTTATGCTTATTCTCTTAGTAGACAAGCCTCTTGACCTGGGATGTCTCCATTCCTTCACTGTCCTCTTGTTTTGTAGATTATATTCCTCACCCTGCTCTTTCCTGAAAGCCTTTAATATGTCTCCCTAGTTCAAGTGAATTGAGTAACTATTTCTAGCCTATTTCTGGCCTAGCCCAGAGCTGGGCTCCAAGGGAATCCAAGAGATGGGGAAAAAAATGTTTTCATGGAGTTTCCAGACCTAATTAGGAAGATAAGTTGAACATGAAAAGAGATACATAATGAAGCTGCATAGAATTGCTGACTATGGAATGAGTCATAAATGAAAACATGAATAAATGAAGTATCAAATGAAAGGTATGAAAATGAGTGTTTCAATTGTTCATAGGATAGATTCCCATGGGCTGGGTGGTTAGAGAAGCATTCATAGAGGAGGTAAGTCTTGAGGGCGGCTTCAAGAAGAGCAGAACACACATGGGATGGAGCGGGGGCGGGTAGAGCGAGGGGAAAGAGTGATTCTTCTTGCTCTTTCTACCTCAATGAAGAGAAACACAGAGATCATCCTAGATTTCTTCCCTACTGGACCCACATCCAGTCAGTTACCAACTCCATCAAAAACACTCTCCAATATTTCTCCCACTCATTCTGCCTCTCTGTCCCATGGCATGCCCCCTCATCAGGCCACCATCACATCTTCTCTGAATATTGCAACAGCATCAGAACTGGTCTTCTAGTGCCAGTTTTTCACCCACCCCATACACATATCATTTGTTCCCATAAATGTTAAGATCCCAGGACCTGGATTCTTGAGACTGACTGGATTCAAATCCTAACCCCCCTTCTCACCCTCTGATGTCCTGGGCAAACTTCATAATCTCTCTGTGTCAGTTTCCATATATATACAATGGGGATAATGGTAATATCTATCTCTAATTTCTATTATGAGGATTAAATGAGCTACTACATGTAAATCACTTTAAAATAGTACTTGGCACTTAATAAGCACACAATAAATATTTGCTTACTATTATCTCCCAAATAGCTGTAATATGCTACTTAACCAGTCACTTTCCATCTTAAATCCCTTCAGTGGATTCTTATCACCTTTTGTAAAGTCTGAAATCCTTACCTGAGCTGACCATGTTGCTGGGGCTTTTTCAGTGTCCCCATCCCCCATCTTACAGCCAAGCAAATTCAATTCAGTGGACATTTGTACAGGTATGCCAAGAGAAAGAAGGGATAGATGCTCTGCCTTTGATCTCCAAGATGGGATTTTCGAGTTGCAATAAGTATTGAAAGCCAGTCTTTGGTCAGAATAAATAATTTTCTAACTTCATGTATGACCCATTGGCATGTCTTATTGGAGTAGGCTGTAGATTTTCAGTCTCAATCAGGGGTAGAGAGGACACAGGCTGTGTCATAATGAAAGTTTCTACCACATGAATGCAAGTTGTGAAAAAGACCCCCTCTTCCAGCCTGGTGGACTAGGGTAAGAATTAGCAGAAGAGGTAAAGCCGGAGGTCAGGAAAGCATCTGATTTTTCTGCTCTAGGCTAAATTTCTGGAAGTGGGGATTTGGATAGATTTTGCCTTGCTTCCTTTTGGAGAGGAACCAGAGTGAAAATGGCAGTGAAGCAGAGAGAAGACTTGAGCTAGCATCCTCGAGCCTCTCTTAGGCTCCTGGGTATAGTACAAAAAGTGCCAAAGTTCTTTGTTTTCTAAGGAAGGACATAGAATGCTGCGGATGGACCAGCTAGGTCTCAGAAGGGATTAACATCTCCAGCAAGAGCCTAAGTAAGACTGGGTCACCTAAGGAGTCCCCAGGCCTTGACCCTGCTGAAAGAACTAACTAGAATGGTGGACATTGGCAAATGCTAGAAATCCGAGTGAAGACCAATTGTAAAACATTTACGGGCACACCACTGGATAAGCCACACTATGTAAGTATAACGATTATACATGCGCATTCCCAACTCCCAGATCCCTGTGTGTTCTGACAGAATTTCAGAGTGGGGAAGAAGGTTTTTTGGGTTTTGGGTTTTTTTTCACACAGCAGTTTACCATTTATTTGTGGCAAAGAAGATAAACAATGGCCTCAGCCTTGGCATTATTTTACAGCATAAATTCTGACCTCCCATGATTGAAAACTGTCACAACTGAAGTGTGACACTCCAGAAGGGCATTAAGAAGTCACCCTGAATGAACTGGAGGGTACTATGTTGAGCGAAATGAGTCAATCAGAGAAAGACAAGTATTATATGATCTCACTGATATGAGGAATTCTTAATCTCAGGAAACAAACTGAAGGTTGCTGGAGTTGGGGGGGGTGGGAGGGATGGGTGATAGACATTGGGGAGGGTTTGTGCTATGGTGAGCGCTGTGAATTGTGCAAGACTGTTGAATCACAGACCTGTATCTCTGAAACAAATAATACATTATATGTTAAAAAAAGAAGAAGAAGAAGATAGCAGGAAGGAAAAAATGAAGGGGGGGAAGTCGGAGGGGGAGACGAATGATGAGAGACTATGGACTCTGAGAAACAAACTGAGAGTTTTAGAGGGGAGAGGCGTGGGGGGATGGGTTAGCTCGGTGATGGGTATTAAGGAGGGCACGTATTACATGGAACACCGGGTGTTATACACAAACATTGAAAACTAATGATGTAATGTACGGTGACTAACATAACATAATAAAATAAAATAAAATAAAATAATAAAATAAAATAAAATAAAAGAAGTCACCCTTGAATGAAGATTCTCCTCAATTGATAATGGGTTAGAAATCCGAGGGGGTTCCTCAAAAAATTAAAAATAGAGCTACCCTATGGCCCACCAATTGCACTACTGGTATTTACCCCAAAGATACAGATGTAGTGAAAAGAAGGGCCATATGCACCCCAATGTTCATAGCAGCAATGTCCACAATAACCAAACTGTGGAAAGAGTCGAGATGTCCTTCAACAGACAAATGGATAAAGAAGATGTGGTCCATATATACAATGAAATATTACTCAGCCATCAGAAAGGATGAATACCCAACTTTTACATCAATATGGATGGGACTGGAGGAGATTGTGCTAAGGGAAAGAAGTCAAGCAGAGAAAGTCAATTAACATATGGTTTCACTTATTTGTGAAACATAAGGAATAGCACAGAGGACATTAGGAGAAGGAAGGGAAAAATGAAGGGAGGGAAATCGGAGGGGGAAATGAACCATGAGAGACTATGGACTCCGAGAAACAAACAGAGGGTTTTAGAGGGGAGGGGCGTGGGGGGATGGGTTAGCCCCGTGATGGGTATTAGGGAGGGAAGGTATTGCATGGAGCCCTGGGTGTTATACACAAACATTGAATCATGGAACACTACGTCAAAAACTGGTAAGGTACTGTATGATGACTAACATAACAATAAAAAAAATTGATAAATGTAAAATGCTAAGAACAGTGCTGGACATGTAAGCATATCATAACAGTAAATGCTTATTATTACTAGTATTATTCTTATCATTATTATCATGTTTCATTGCTTTGTTTATCTATTCCTGGGCAATATCACGTTGGTCCTATTATGCTACAATGTATTTTGCCGAGAAGGCAAATAGCAATCTTTATGTTATTTTTCAAGACTGTCTTAAATATTCTTGTGCATTTTTCTTTGTATATTTCAGAGTCAGGCAGGTTTCATGAAAAATGCTTTTGAATATTGGAATTGCATTAAATTGATCAGTAATTTGGTAAGGAAAAAAAAAGAAAGAAAGAAATCCGAGAACTCGAGCCTGCCTCCTCTGGCCAAGCTGGAGCTGTCCCTCCCAGCGCTCTTCCTCCTCCCCAGGGAAGAAGGGAGCTTGTCCGAGGGCACAGAGTCGCGGTGGGCTGGGCGATCCTTTCCAGGAGCGGCCCTGCGCGGAGAAAGCCCACCTACTCCGGGGCCGCGGAGACCGCCTGCGACCCGCCGGGCGCACAGCGATGGAGTCCTCCTGGCTCGAGATGCGCTGGGCGCGGCCCTTGTACCTGGCCTTCGTGTTCTGCCTGGCCCTGGGGTTGCTTCAGGCCATCAAGCTCTACTTGCGGAGGCTGCGGCTGCTGCGAGACCTGTGCCCTTTCCCCGCGCCCCCCACCCACTGGTTCTACGGGCACCAGAAGGTAAGGGAAAGGAGGGACGGAGAAGGATGCTGCGGAGGATACCAGGCGGGCGTAGAGGTGGGCTGCTTCCTCCCTTTCCTTTCATCGCCGCATCCTGCACAGACCTCTCTGGCTCCGCCTGTGGCTCTCGGCATCTTTCCATTACTCTGGGCTTGCTCCCTCACTGTGCTGCAGAGAAAGGGAAACAAGACTGGAGCCCCTGGAGTGGAAGCTTGGGGGCTGGGAAGACCTATGTAGAGACTGAGTACAGAAAAAGAGCGTCCTGTAACTCAAGACGGTCTCTGGTTGCTTCATCTCTAGTTGCATTTATGTACTGTACCTTAAAAAGCCTTCCACATGGGTCGCTAAAAAATAGTTGTTATTCCAAATATGCTTATTAACTGCAGAAAATATGCAAAATCGAACACAGTTAGTTGCCACCCTTAGTGAATTACAACCAGAGAAAATGAACTTTATCCAAGGTTCTTGTGAAGTAGAGAGCAGTCCCCGCCAATCACTCAAAAAGTGATGGCAAATTGAAATTTGTAAGAGGGAGACCTTTACCTTTTGGTCTTCCTGCGCTCCAAATCCAGTCTCACCCCTGATTCCTTGTTTTATTAATTCAACCAGCTTTGAGTGGAATTGTGTGATGGGTGCTGGGATTACAAAGAGCAGACCAGTACCAGCCCTCAGAAGCCCAAATCAGATGCATACTTAGACCACAAAAAGAAAATGCAAATACAGGGTAATGAGTGCTTTGATAGAGGCCTAGGGACAAGGGGATCTTGGACGGAAATAGGTGTCTCTACCCAGGGAAGGAAGGAAAGTCTATAGAAGTCTGGGCAGAATTTTAAAGGATGGCTGGCATGGGGAGGATGTCCCCAGCAGAACTATCGCATGATCCTTTGGCTCCCCCACTCCTAGTGCCCAAAACCAACCACTCTCAACTGTTTTACCTGTTTGTTTCAATCCTTACTGGTAAAATAATATTACTATGTTGCATTTCTTAATTTAATAATTTTAGATATCCATTCATTAACTACCTTATGATGAGTAATCACTTATACCCCATCTTTTACTGTCCCAATATAGTTACATTGTATTTTTTGTTAAATAGAATAATTAGTATTTATATTATTTTGATTATGTAAATATTTACTTACCACTGATCTAATGGTTGATTTTGTTCCTTTTCTCACAGAACTTTTTTTCTCCCATGGTGTTATTACCTTCTTCCTTTTCTCATATGCTTAGTTTTTCAAAATCTATCATTATTTTTTCCCAAATGCTTTTAATAGATCTGTCAAACACATCTCAACAATATTTCCAAATATTGAAATATATAAAAAAACCTGTCAGCCTATATGCTTTTCTGGAGGCATTTCTCCCAAAGACCTCTCCTCCCATTCTAATCTGGACTGGTGGCTCTATAGGCTTGGTGCACAGATAATGTGCTATTCTGTGTCATATCTTCCGTTTCCTGGATACTATGTCTTCTCTTTTTCCTGATTTATTTCATCATTTTTATGAGTAGCTTCTTGAGATTGAGTGAAGGAATGTCAGGTGAATTTTCCGAGTTCTTGAATGGCTGAAAATGTCTCTTAAATTCATAACTTGATTGATAGTTTGGCTGGGTATAGGATTATACTTTAGAAATAATTTTCTCTCAGAATTTTGAAGGCATCATTACATTGTCTTCTAGCTTTCAGGATGACTGTTGAAAATGCCGATACCTTTCTGATTTTTTTTCCAACATCTTTTCTGTAGTAAAATGCCCATAACATAAAGTTTACCATCTTAACCATTTTTAGAAGTGTACAGTTCAGTGATATTAAATACATTCATAATGTTGTGCAGCCATCGACTCCATCCAACTCCATAACTCTTTTCATCTTGTAAAACTGAAATTCTATACCCATTAAACAATAGTTCCCCATTTCTCTCTCTCTTCCTACGCCCCCAGCAAACACCATTCTATTTTCGGTCTATATAATTTTGACTACTACTATCTCATTTAAGTGGAATCGTGTATTATTTATTTTTTGTGACAAGCTTATTTCACTTAATGTAATGTCTTCAGGGTTCATCCATATTGTAGCATAGGTCAGAATTTCCTTTCTCTTAAAAACTGAATAATATTTCACTGTGCCAATATATCTCATTTTGTTTATCTATTCATCCATCAGGGGATACATGGGTTATTTCTGCATTTTAGCTATTGTGAACATGGGTGTACAAAAATCTCTTTGACACCTTACATACAATTCTTTTGGATATGTACTCAGAAATGGCATTGCTGGATCATATGGTAATTCCTTTTTTAATCTTCTGAAGAACAACCACACTGTTTTCCACAGTGGCAGTACCATTTTACACTTCCACCAGAAGTGCACAGGGGTTCCAATTTCTCCACATTCTTACCAACACTTGCTATTTTCTGTTTTTTTTTTTTTCTGACAGTAGTCATCTTAATGGGTGTGAAGTACTATCTTATACTTTTGATTTGTATTCCCTAATGATTAGTGATGTTAAGCATCTTTTCATGTGCTCAATGTCATTTGTAAGTCTTCTTTGGAGAAATGTCTAGTTAAGTCCTTTACCCATATTTGGATCAGATTGTTTGTTTTTTGTTGTTGAGTTTTAGGAGATCTCTATTTATTCTGGATATTAACCACTTATCAGATATAGTAGTTGCAAATATTTCTCCCATTCTGTGTTTTTTACTTTTTACTCTGTTATACTGTCTTTTCATGCACAAAAATTTTTAATTTTCATAAAGTCCAATTTGTATATTTTTTCTTTTTTCCTGTGCATTTGGTCTCATATGCTAGAAATCATTGCCAGGTCCAACGTTGTGAAGAATTTTCCTGTGTTTTCTTCTAAGAGTTTTACAGTTTTAGGTCTTACATTTAGGTCTTTGAACCATTTTCAGTTAATTTTTGTCTATGGTGTTAGGTAAAGAAGGGCCCAACTTTATTCCGTGGCATGTGGATATCCAGTTTTCCCAGCAACATTTGTTGAAAAGACTGTCCTTTTCCCATTAAATGGTCCTAGCACCTTTGTCAAACATCATTTGAGAGAGCAGAGTGACTCACTCTCTCACTTGAGGTCCCCTTGCTATTGTAGAGTATTCCAAAGAAACAAATCAGAATGCTCAAAAACATTAAGAAGATGGTAGATCTATACTGCAAGTTATCTAGGGGGAAGATCAAGAGGGAGTGCTAAGTCAACACAGCACAACTTCCTAGGAACCCTCTTTGTCCATTTCTCTCCCCAAAGTCTCATTCTCAAGGCACATGTGTGTGAATCAGTCCAATCTCTGACTTTAAAACATCATTTGACCATATATTTGGGGGTTTGTTTCTAGACTTTCTATTTTATTCCATTCACCTATATGTCTCTCTGTGGCAGAACCACACTGTTTTGATTACTGTAGCTCTGCAGTAAGTTTTGAAATCAGGAAATGTGAGTCCTTCAGCTTTGTTCTTCTTATTAAAGACTGTTTTGGCTATTCAAGGTCACTTGATATTCCACATAAATTTTAAGATGGATTTTCCTGTTTCTACAGAAAATATCTTTGGGATTTTGGTAGGGATTACACTGAATTGTAGATTGCTTTGGGTAGTATTGACATCTTAACAATAATAAATCTTCCAATCCATGAACATGGAATGTGTTTCCATTTATTTATGTCTTTTTAAATTTCTTCAGAAATGTTTAGTTCTCACTGTACAAGTCTTTGACCTTGTTGGTTGGGAATACTTGGTTTTCCCATACTTGGTTTCACCTCCTAAATATTTTATTCTTTTTGATGCTATTGCAAATGGACTTGTTTTCATTATTTTCTTTTCAGATTGTTTATTATTAAAAATGCAACTGGTTTTTGTGTAGAAAATGTAGATTTTCTACATTTTAGTGTAGAAATGCAACTGACTGCCAAATCTAGGTTAATTCCTTATGTTTTCTTCTAAGAGTTTTATAGTTTTAGCTCTTTCATTTAGATCTTGATCCATTAAGTTAATTTTTGCATATTGTGTAAGGTAGGGGCCCAACTTTATTCTATTTTTTGTGGCTATCCAGTTATCCCAGCACCATTTGTTGAAAAGACTGTTTTTTCCCTCCATTGAATTGTTTTGGAACCTGAGTAGGAAAAACCCAGTTCTCTTGTTTCCCCTTTACTCTCACAACACTTCTGACACCAGATGTTGGGTGAGTGCCCCCATCCCCCACCTGCAACCAAGCAAACCTGTGATACCAGCTGAGTGTCCTACAATTTAATGCAATTCTGACACTGTCTACCCAGAGATAGCATAAGATCTCACAGATTAAGAACTCAGCCCACAAGACTACTCCTCCCCACTTCAGATGCCAATAGCAAGTCCAGGTTTTTACTGTGCTTCTGACCAATCACCTGTAAGTTGGAGATTCCTGTGACTTCCTCTTCGGGTTTGGTTAATATGCTGGAACAGCTCACGGAACTCAGGAAAACAGTTAATTTACTGTTTACCAGTTTATTTTTTTTTAAGATTTTATTTATTTATTTGACAGAGAGCGAGACAGTGAGAGAAGGAACACAAGTAGGGGGAGTGGGAGAGGGAGAAGCAACTTTCCCACTGAGCAGGGAGCCCAATGTAGGGCTCGATCCCAGAACACTGGGATCATGACCTGAGCCGAAGGCAGCCGCTTAACCAACTGAGCCACCCAGGTGCCCCTGTTTACCAGTTTATTATAAATGGATATGATAAAAGATACAGATGAACATGCAGTTGGCAGTGATGCATAGGGCAAGGTATGTGGGAAGGGGCACAGAGCTTCCATGCCCTCTCCTGATGCATCATTCTACCAGCACCTCCACACGTTCTCCAAACTAGGTCTCCAAACCCCGTACTTTTGGAATTCTTACAGAAGCTTCATCATGTAGGCATGATTGAACATTAACTCCATTTCTGGCCCATCACCCTCTCTGGAGAATGGGAAGTGGGGCTGAAAATTCCAAGCTTCTAATTGTGGGTTGGTCTTTCTGTGACCAGCCCCATCCAAGGGTCCCCAAGAGCTATCTCATTGGAACAAAAGACACTGCTATCAGTTGACTGTAAACATGAAGTTTATTTCTAGATTCTCAATTCTATTCTATTGATCTATATGTCTATACTTATGCCAATACCACACTGTCTTAATTACTTTTGCTTTGTAGTAAGTTTTGAAATCAGGAAGCATGAGTCTTCCTATTTTGTTCTTTTTTTAAAAAAGATTTTATTTATTAATTTGAGAGAGAGCAAGCGAGCAAGAGAGAAAGCACGAGCAGGAGGGCAGGGCAGAAGGAGAGAGAGAGACAGACTTCCTGCTGAGCTGGGAGCCTGATGCAGGACACTATCCCAGGATCCTGGGATCAGGACCTGAGCCGAAGGCAGATGCTTAACCAACTGAGCCACCCAGGTGCCCATATTTTTGTTTTTTTTCAAGATTATTTAGGTAATTCTGGGTACCTCTGGTTTCCATATAAGTTTTAGGATCAGCTTGTCAATGTCTACAAAGAAGCCAGGTGTGATTCTGATAGGGATTACATTGAATCTGTAGATCAATTTGGAAAATATTGTCATGTTAACAATATTAAGTCTTCTGATCCATGAACATGGGACATCTTTACATTTACTTAAGTCTTTTTAAATTTATTTCAACAATGTTTTGTAGTTTTCAGAGTATAAGTTTTACATTTATCTTTTTAAATTTGTTTCTGAATGTTTTGTTCTTTCTGATACTGTTATAAACAGAATGGTTTTATTTTCATTCAGATTGTTTATTGTATTCATAGTGTTTTAAAGTCCATATCCCTCTTGACTGTCAGCAAATTATTTTTTTGTGTTTTAGAGAGGCCTCTATCAGAGTTTTACAGATGAGAGATAGATAATATGTCAAGCTAACTAATATTACCAAATCTACTTATTTACCTTTTTTTTTTTTACCCTTTATGTTTCTTTTGACAATTCATCACTTAGATAATCACAAGGAACAGCTGGAACTATTTTCCTTAACCTCCCTAAGGTTCAGTTTTCTCATCTGTAAAATGTAGGTTCTAATCATATCTGCTTCATAGGGTTCCTGGTATAAAGATTAAACAATATAAATCATGGAAAACATGATCTTGGCAATACCTAGTTCATAGTAGTGCTTTGTAAGTGTTAGCTATTACTATTTGTCTGGGCACTAAGCATTTTTTGAATATTTCTAAACAATGTTTCCTAAATATGTATAAGACATATTTTCAAATATATTAAGATACTGCTGTGGATGAAGAAATATAAATTCATGTATTACGGGAGTCACAGTGGCTTTCTCTCCTTTTGCCCAGACAGGAATTACTAAAAGTATAACCAAATGCTTGTGGCTGAGGGTGTCCTTGATAATTTTTAACTTAAAGAAATAATCCTCATATTAGACTATAATTTCCTTGAGGGCAAAGACCTTACCTGTCTTATATTTCCCTGCATCTCTTTTGCCTGGCATATATAGTAGGCACTTAATAAATACTCACTTGTCTATTGTTTACAAATGAATTAATGAAGGAACATTTGCTTTGTTGGGAGATATCATTTGCATTGTCAGTGGGTGCTTGTCACTGGTTTGATTGTAGGAATGTTAACAAAAATGAGTCTGTACCATTTCAGGAGGTAGATTTCAAGAATCTCAACCTCCTAGGGGCCCTAAACTTTCCAGGGAACACTTCATGGGATAAAGGTGCTAGCTGGTAACAAAGGAAATTGGGAGCCAAAGTTTTCCACCTTTTCTGAAGGTAAGAGAAATCACATGGCAAACTCTGTATGATTGGTCAAACAAGGAAGAACTTGCCAGCCTTAGGGTTTCTTTGCAAGTCAAGAGCCCCACGATCATGTGTCATTGGGCACACCCAGACACACACTTACAGGTGCCCCCCACACTCTCACTTTATACAAGAAGTGGATATAAATGAATTTTATTGTCAGTGATTTAGAGGAACTATTTAAATGAGTCATTAGTAACTTGCTTATTAAGGCAAAAAGTTCATCTCTGATGGTGGTATTTGTACTCTGGTTTATAAATGTTGGAAACTGAGAGTTTTTTATTTAAACTTGCTTCAAGCTTCATGCACCTGTATAAATGAGCCTTCTGTTGTTGTAAGAGAAAAGAATGGGATTTTCTTCATAGATGGAGTGGGCAGGTTTTTAGGGAGAAGCTTTTACTATGAAGTCACAAGAAAGAATCACTCCTCAATAATTAGAGAAAGGCAAAGGGAGAGGAAATAGCTGGATCATGGGTCATGTTCAATCTACTACCAATTAGCTTCCCACACAGGAAAAAAATCTTTCTCAGCTTCCAAACTCCACTCCTAATCAAAATGTGTGACCTTGGCAGGTGAGGCAGCCTCGGGTCTCTTCACCTTCTCAGTTGGGAAAACAGCTCACCATAGATGTCATTTGATGGGGACTTATTCTGGGGATGCAACATACACTTACATTGAGAAGATAAATACACTGACCTTCATCAGGAAATTATATTCTGGGGCACTCGGTGGTGCCCAGTAGTCAGTTAAGTGTTTGACTCTTGGTTTCAGCTCAGATCATGATCTCAGGGTTGTACGAATGAGCTCCATGTTGGGCTCCACACTGAAAGGAGTGTCTGCTTGAGATTCTGTCCTTCTCCTTCTCCCTCTGCCTCTCCCCTCAATTCTCTCTCTCTCTCTCAAATAAATAAACAAATAAATCTTTAAAAAATTATACTCCAAGCTTGGAAATGCCCAGTAAAGCATGTTTGTGGGACTTTATCCAGGCCCTACATTCAGCTTGCCTCTGTAAGAGAGGATGAGTCCAGACTGCTTGGCTCCTCTAACTTCCTTCACTCTTTTTTTCACTGCAGTTACTTCAGGAGGGTAAAATGGAGAAATTTGAGGAGATTGTCGAAAAATACCCTTGCGCCTTTCCTTGCTGGGTTGGGCCTTTTCAGGCACTTTTCTATATCTATGACCCAGACTACGCAAAGATATTTCTGGGCAGAACAGGTAAGAAAAGGGATGAATCTCAGGAAACTAATCCTCCTAGGAGAAATATGCAAAACTCACAGGGAGTATTCTAAAGAAATCCTGAAACAAAGATTAAAATTGGGCCTTTACTCTAACTGCTAGGATAAATGAGGCAGAAGAGAGAATTAGTGATATAGAAGACCAAATGATGGAAAATAAAGAAGCTGAGAAAAAGAGAGATAAACAACTACTGGATCACGAGGGCAGAATT